TCTCTAGAAAATCCGTCCCGTAATGATACCATGATTGTTCTTGCAAAAGGTAAATGAAAGCGGTGTTTATAAAGGCAACAATACACTTTTTATGGATTGGAACATAATTTTTTCTCTAGCTTGCGTGCTGAAGACAAGCTAGTGTAAGTTGTTAGCAATTACTAATGGTTGAATGTTGACCTAAAATGTTCTTGTAGACGTTACGAAAGTGTTGGATGAAGGGGACTCCTAGAGAGTGCGTAAAAGCGTTGAAATGGAGAAAGAGGGTCACGACTCTGCTTTCAACAACCGAAAAAACCCAAACCTTGCTTGTTTGAACAACTCTTTAAGGGAATATAACGTTGCTCCAACTCATAACCTTGCCCTTACCTTAAGTTGAACTCGTGCGCGGCATTAAGCACGTGCGTTGATTCCATTTTAGATGAAATGGTTGATTATAAGAATCAGTTTATTATCTTATTTCCTTTATTTATATCGATTTTATGAAAATGTTTCTATTTGGTATCGTATTTCGTTTCTGAAAGTGAGCACATCCAGAGTAGCCGTCAGTGTACTGAAATGTGAACGAACTATGCCTTCGGTACAATCGGAGAGTTGTGTGAATCTCGTAAAATCGTGACGGTCTATTCGCAAAACTCCCTTCAGCGGAAATCTATGGTCAGCTTGTGCTGGTTACGAACCAACGCCAACGGTTCGTTTGTCCTCACTGAGTTCAAACTTCCGGCATGGGCGGGTCACGCACTGAGCGGCCGGCACTCGCACCACAGCGGAATGTAATATCTAACTTGCAAGCTAGTTTTGTTCTATATTGTTGAAAGATGCTATTCATCCTAGGCAGAGAGCTGATTTCCTAACCGTATGGAAATGTTTATTAATAGTAGTATTATAACAATGAAATTATCGAAAATTAGTTCTGGTTGCTACACTAGTGGGCATCCACTTCGGTATTAAGAACAAGGTAAATGCAGGTAATTCACTACATTCTTCTTTCCTGAGGAGGATTTTACAATGGTGATTTAAATTAGATACGGAGTAGGCTACAATTTCTTCATATCTGTCTAGGAGGAGAGTTTCCAGGCAGCTTGCCAAAGAGTTTGTTAGTGTTCGAAACATAGTGTACTATGAAGAATTGCGGAAGCTATCGGTGCCAGTGTTCCCCACCGAATGTTGTGACGATCGGCGGGGCCAGAAACGTCACTTTGTGTGAGAGAGAGGACATTTCCGAGGAGTTTGTGCCTCCTGTCCGCGCGCGGCCAATCGCCCCTTTCCGCCGCCATCTCTGCCTTGGAGAGAGGGAGAAAGAGAGGAAAAGGGAGAGGGAGCTAGAGAAGGAGAGAGAGAGAAGGAGGGAACTAGAGAGGAAAGGTAGAATGCCGGAGACAGTGAGAGAGAGAGCGAACGGCGACGATTCCTCGACTGTTTTGTGTGCCTTTGACCGACGAGCCGCACGCAGCCGACTGCCTATGTACATATCGGGGCATTTATGCTTCGTGACGCAATTCGCCTCGTCCGTCGTCCGTCGTTCGTTCAACACTACGCTTTTTCGCCTCCTACTTCACCACCGAACACTGCGCAGTATTATAATGTCCTCACAACATGGGCGAATAGTCGCTTATTTTGCGGCTTCTGTTGTGTTTTTTTCCTACTTCATCATTCTTACCTTGTATACTGTCAATTTCATTCCATTTGCCTCAACGGATGTTCTTTCGTCTCCAATTTTTTCGAATGAATACAACCACAATTGCACTGAAAGTGTATTGCAACGATCAAGCCGAAACGAGACTGGAAAAAAATGCCATAATATATTTGCTAACGAAGAAAATCAATATGATAAGATGTCATTATTTTCGAACACAGGCTTATTTTGTGGTCAGTGGGTTGTGCTCGTTTTCAAGAGCGTTAATTTGTATTGCTTGACCTCTGAATGGAAATGCTGTTATCACCAATGCAGTGCGGTGCTTGGCTATTCGTGTTGTTTAGTGACCATTCAAGACTAACTATGTTTACAAATTGTCCAGGCTTCAAGAATACAAACACGCTTCTTGATCCAGAACTCGCTGCGTGCTAGTCCGTCACACTCTTATCACTGCCAATGCGTTTGGTCCCATGTTCAGTATTCTTGGTTGTGAGCTATTGAGGTAGAGGCACACTAAACTATAACAAAATAGCCTAAGCTGTATGAAGTGAACAACTAACAGAATTTACTTAATTTGATGTTTGTGTGCATTCGTTCATGACATTAAGCCCTGTATAACACAATTTTAAACGTTAATTGCAATCACTCGTCTAAAACTACTTAGACTCAACTGTGTTATGTTGCGACCATGTCGAAAGTGTGGTCCAAGTTAACGATATGACCACAAATCTTTTTGGTTTGCAGGATCGTAGCTGACAGTCGTAGCATAGCGGATTCGGAAGGGGTAGGAGTAAGTCCCCAGCGGGTGCAATATTGTTCTCGGGTGTGGAAGGGTGGGCGACTGCCCTTAATGGCTGGTGCGAGCGTGCGAATCACGGATGTTTTGCCGGCCACCGATCGCGCGGCCTCGTTTTGAGCTGGCACGCCCGGTTGACCCGCTTTCGATGCTTCCCTTCCTTTCTGGGTGGTAGTGATGGTTGACGAAGGCCCAAATAGATCCTTTTCCACCATCGTGATTGGAATTCCTTTCTAATTTAAGGTCTACGTTACAAGTCGTTTTTCTCCACTTCACTCTCTACTCGAAAGATTTTAGTCAAATCCCATTGTGCTCTCTTGATCCATACCTGCATTCATTTCTCTTTATGTTCTTCGGTCACTGTCCTGTTTATTTTCATGTATTTCATCTGTTCTGTGAGTGAAATGTGAAGAGTTACTGGAGGTATAAAAGGAAAGGTCATCACATTGTTGTCGTCGTTATCAATACTCATAGTCTGCTTAGTGGATCCAATCACCAGCGATGGTATGATGCTGATCCATGTGTGCCGGTCTCAATTTGTCGAGTACGCCGGTCGAAGAGTGGACAACCGCAAACTGCGGCTTACCTGCGCCGTACGTTCGTGACATACTAACGGTGTGTAAGATATGGTGGAGACAGCCTAAGCGGTGACGAAGAACAAACATTGCTAGGAAATGCGCATTCATTGACTAGAAGCGTAGTTCCTAACTAGGCTTCTGGCTTGCCAATCATGTCATTAATGTACGTAGAAGTGCCCTTCGAACTCGATCAATGCCATTCGCTACGTAGACCTATTTTGGCGCCGCGTGGAAGGCCGTTCGCTTGCCGCTGCTTGGTGGCTGCAATTCGGCCACCGCCGCCTGTCGCCGGCCGACCGACGATGGCCTAGATCCGTCGCCCAGTTCAACTTCAACTCTCGACTTTGAATCTCCCATGCAACACCGATCCATGCTTCATTCTAGTCGACTTTCCTGAAAATCTCCTTTAATCTTCAAAGATTCTTTTCAATCAGTGGTACCCTACAGCCATTTCATATTTGTCTTTAACTTTTAAATCTACATTGTTATGATATCACCAACCCTATTTACGATGCTTTCAACACTCTCAATTGCAATACCATTTTAGCTCTCTTCGCACCTGAATCCAGGATCTCAGCATTCTATTGGTATTTGACCAGGTGGTAGTCATGATTCGCTGCCTAACCTGTCTCTCAACGTCTCAATTTCAATTTTCCGAGTGCACTCTGTCAAACTCTTACTACACTGGCTCGAACCTTCATTTCTACCGCTATTTCTCTCTGACTGTCCAAGAATAGTATACCATTTATGAACACTTCACAGTATCTATTTGAGCCAATGAAAGCCGTTGACCTGTCGCTGGTAATGTCATCAAACGAGAGAGAGAGAGAGAGAGAGAGAGAATCACAACCATTCTCAGCTGTCTCCAGTCCTGTTTTCCGCCAAAACTCTCCTGCCTTCATTCGAGTAGAAACTTCAAGCCTTTTAATTCTGCAGTTCCTGCAGTGTTTTGCCCTTATTGTCTGGGCTCATTCCAGTGATCTGCCACTTCTTCGTGCATCATCGATAATGTAAGCGCCCATGATTGTACCTGTTTTGGAGATTTGGTAGATGCTCGAATTGGACTGATCTGCAGGACGTGTTGGGCAGCTGAGGAACGTTTGACAGGCCGTAGAGGGCTGTTCCGCAGCGTGAGTGCAGGTGGGTGCTTCGCGTTTGTCCAGTTTTTGGCCGCAACCCAATTCCGTCGCGCCTTCACTCACTTTCGCGTCGATCCCGAGTCTCTCGCGCTTTCGCCTCTGGCGCGGTGGCGCCGCGATCGTGCGCGGAATTCGCCGCGTCCGCGATATCTTTTTTGTGAGCATGTTTTTCAGGAGTATCTATGCCATGCGAAACTGGTTGCTGTCTGTGCGCTTGGCCATCGTGGCCTACTGTCCACTAGATATCTCTTTACGTTGCCATGTCGCGTGGTAACACCTCCTTATACTAGCCATCCTCATCAGTTTGCCACTTCTTCGCCTTTCTTTAGCGATGTTTCTGCGTTTTTCGACAACGCATACCAAAATGACTTTTCTTTTTTTGTGTTCAATGCTTTAGAGCAATGCTTGGTTGTGTTCATTGAGGTCCTTAAATAATTTTCCCCGTTGCCTGTCGAACTGTACGCCATGTCAGTCAGCCGGCGACATTGCGATGAGCGATTTGAGTTTCAGTTCGAAGTTCAATTTTGCACTTTGGATGTCAGTTGACCAGCATTGCCAACCCTAGCAGTCGCACACTGATTGTTCTTCTCCTGCTTCATCTCGGCAATTTCGATCTATATGACAGGATTTCTGTCCTTCTATTGTCTCTAATTCTAATATAACAACGGAATATGGAAGTTTCTCAATCTCGATTTAATATCTATTCAATTAAATTCGTATATTCCGCGTCTTAAGGCTGCACTGTTATTACACGTATTTTATTCGGGAATACCGTGGCTCATTTGATAGCCTTGATGTGTATATCAACGGTATGATGGCTTTATTTTAGAGATTTTGTTATAAAAGCTCAGATGTTGGGAGTTGAAAAGGCGGGGTCATCCGACCTTTCCTCTTCCTCCACTGAAACGTCAGCGATTTCCCCTGTCAGTATGATTAGTATTCCTTCGTCTCCTGATAAAGACAAAAAGAAAGTAAGTTTCGATAGACGATTAATACTTTCGTTATATATCAAAAGAAAGACTCGTGTTACAATCACTGTTTGGATCTTTTTTGAGATTTCATTTGTGCGCTACAATCCCGACATACCTCAAATCGTCACATCTTTCAAAGGATATCAGAAATTGATGTTTCAGGGCTATAGATACAACATTTATCAGGTGTGTCATGTGATTTTACAGCCCAATTTCATTTTGCACTTGTTGAATACTTTAAAATCGTAGGTGATGCCGGAACGTAATTTCAAATCATGGCGTTGTGTATGTGCAAAGAAAATCCCCGACAACGGTTCATGGTGTAAGTGCCGAGCGGAGACGACCATGGATGACCAAAAGGCTGTTACAAAAGGCGAGCACAACCACCCACCCAAACACCTCCTTGCTGAACTAGAATTCATTAAGGTAAATCTTACAGTTATTTTTAATAGTTAACAGCTGAGGCGCTAATATACACGTTTCTGCTTTATATCCATGTTTTCCTCTCGCGTTGGCTTTCGATCTTAAATTCTTATACTAATTGTGAGCTATGTGGCATCTCAAAGAATCAGCTTTTACCGCTATCGTCAGGTGGCACTTTTGGCGTCGTGACTGTCCATCTGGTCAGTTTGTCCTCTCTCAGCACTTAACATAAATTCCATTTCTACTACTATTGCCGACCTTAACATAAATGGAAGCTGGCTTCGTGATAGAGTAACATATGCGATCACTTTTTTGTTGCACCATCGGCGTACCAGGGTAGCCGTGCATTCGTATTCATTTTCGCGCTCGCCAATTTTCAATGGTCATCCCGTGTTCTCTACTTCGGTATTGCGAGCAAGTAATTGGGTAGGTTATTATTTGGGACGGAGATGGCGCGTAAAGGATGAATTCTATACTCTAGTTCTGCCCAGTTAACTATGGACACAGATATGTTGGGTCGGCCTGTGCTTATCCCTCATGAATACATTTTCAGTCGCAATTATTCATGGCAGCGCTTGAGAATCCTGATTTGGATGCCGGAGATTTAGTCAATCAGGCGTGTGACTACCTTAGTCAAGGTGTCGGTCAGTTTCAAACAGTTTCTCGTAACGGAGACTATGCCTGATCAGCGGAGCAGTTTATAATTGCAGAGTTTGAAAACAGGGAAAGCTTGCGTAAGAGCATCCAACTAGCACGATCTCGTGTTGGAAAACCTCGGAAACCTAGGGCACGCCCAGTGAATCCTCAAAAGAGAAAGTTGATGATGTTCGATGGACTGGATGTGGGTTGAAATTCGTACGACGATTCCATCATATTCAAAAAACAGGATAATCAGAAAACAATACTTGTCATGATACGACTTTCTATTTTCTTCAGGATATTCTGAAAACCGAAGAGGATGACGATTACCCGGTACAAGTTATGAATGACAACATTATGGCAAGCCTTATGAAGGTGCCAAAAACTGACAAAAGTGACGTAGGTTCATTAAGGACAAGCGTGCGCTCATTTATATAGAAAGGAACACTACGTTGTAGCTTTGTGACGTTAGCCTACCTCTCTTCAACAATGGTCTTTCAATGGTAAAACCAGAGTCTCCATTTCGTCAGACGGCTGCTGTGCCACCACAACCAAAATCAGTGAACGACCATCCAAATCCACTTCTTCAAGCAAACCTCCTTAACGGAATGTACGTCGCATTAACTTCTTCGAATGCTATTTATTTTAGTTCATGTTTTTTAGAGAAAAATTAAAAGTTGTATCTAGGACGGCGCCGTGGTTAGGCACGGTCGAGCAGGATCCAATGTCTTTACTCTGGGCCAATATTCTTAGTCCTGGAAGCATTGATGTTCTCTCAACTATAGCTGCCTTGTCAAAACCCGTTATGACCCCCTTGACGAAAAGAGAGGTAAAGTGTCGCAAATTATTTTTAATGTACATATTGGATTCAAATTGATAAACACGTAGACCAACAAAATTGCGATTTTTAAGGTGTCATTGATGGAAGTTAGAGTGTAAAATGAGTTTTTCCTGTTGAAAATTGTGCTCTAAACCTTGTATCCCAACAGCAGAGCTATGTAGTGATACGTTTCCTATATTCCTCTCAATTTTCTGGTTTTCCAAGTTCTGATTTTTTTTCTCAATTTTCGACGCTTTTTTCTTAATGGTCGAAAAAGTCTGCTTTTCAAAAGTGTTACCCTTGTTGTAGTGGTAGTACACACTATTTTTTGTTCAATGTGAATTCTGTGTTATGCACATACACATCTGCCAGGAGCAAATGCTTGGAATTAATTTTGTTCATGTATTCGAATCATAGTGCAAATATATTGTGGAGCAACCGAATATTTTAAACCATTCGCCGTTCTAAAACGGTTCATCTCTACATTGTAGCAAAAGGAAATACAAGGCAATTAGGGTAGTTCTCTCTATAAAATACTGTCAACAAGTTGCCATGATAATGGTGATGTAGAATGCAGACATCATGGTTGGTAATATCTGACCTTCAGAAATCATGTGTCCTCAGGTCAGGAAATCATGTGATGCTAAGTACAAGTCATCAAAGAGCTCAAACACCACAGAAGTTTTCGTCGGCACCCTTGTTAAGCGAAATGATGAGTTGATGGAGAGTTTCTAAACGAAAATCCTATATAGTTGCCTTCCCTTTCTTCGTCTCTAGCCTAAAGGTTCACCAAAACTGATAAATAGTTCGAAATTACCATCTGGAAATCTATCTAAGAATTAACTCGTTCCAAGACAGAGCGTGACGAACTCTCTATGGCTATCTGCTCATCAAAGCAGTAAAAGGAGTGAGTGTGATACCAAAAGTGGGATACTCTTTGTGTTCATTGAGCGAACGAACGCTCTAGACAGCTCTTGTGCGCCAAAGGGACGGTGCTAGATTTTTGTGATGGCACATGTTAATATGGATGCTGGTGAGATTGTCGTAAATTCTTCAGATTCCCATTCCTTCAGTAGCAGTTAGTCGTGACACTGTTCCACCTCAACTGAATGTCTCCACGTCCTCTCCACCCAAAAAGACGGACGTTGGGTGTCAAACCATTGAGGTAAGTTAGTCCGAAATTGCTCTCAATCATTTTGGCTTCGCACTGACGTTTGCAAGGACTTTAAGGACATCAGAGTTTCTCAATGCCTAGCGTCTGGTTGCGGTTGCCGAATAGTCCGAGTGTGTTGTTGTGAAAACAGTACATGCCATAATCGACAAACAGCATGCTGATCTTTCTTTGCATGTCATTTCGCTCATGTACTATTACCGCTTGCAATAACTTCTTCTCCTTCATTCATTAAAGTTGATATGTTCATTCTATTCCTTCTATTTAGTTCTTTGAAGCCATACCCTTGTTATTTGTTTTATCTTTGAGATTTCTGACGCAGGTTGTGAATGGCAATATAACTCTACTGCAGCTTCTCTTAAGGCCTTATTTTTGTGTCTTTGGTATTTTGAAGCCATTTTAGAGTGTCTTCGAAGTGTCTTTGTTGTTTCTTTTATATTTATTCTGGATTGATGTGATCTTTCGAGAATCTTTCATCTGTTTTCATCGTTTTTCTAATAAGTCAGCAATCCTACTTTCTTCTTAATTTGAAGTGATAGTTCAAAACCGGTAGACTTCCTTTAGGTGCTTTCTGGAGCGTTCATTCAAAATGTATGTTTTTTTCGCTTTCGATCGTGCCTATCTACTTTAACATCGCTTTGCACCAATTCGAATGACTATATCGGGAATGTTTTCTTGTGATAGATCAGTCGAAAGCGGTCTTAGGTTATAAGTCGCTATTATTATTATTACTCTTATTATTATTATTATTATTATTATTATCACATATATGTATATCATGAGTATTATTGCGGGTGGTGATAGAAGAATTACTACATAATAACTTCGAATAATTTCTGTGAGATACTGTGATTCATTCTAATTGTGATACTTTGAGATGTATTTATACACATGTCTGTGGCAAATCCAAGTTGAATACTCAAGTAATAAACTGTAAGCATTAGTGTGTTGTCTCATGCATATCGAGTGAGTCAGCTTTTTTGGGAACTAGATCACCACTCGGCAGTAGCTGCCTTGTCTAAAATCCCTTGCAAATGTTATATGCATATATATATATATATGTATATATATGTATATATATATATATATGTATATATGTCCTTGCATACTTGCATGGCCCGCCCTCACTGATTGTGTGTGGCCCCAGCAAAATTTCCTTCGGAGTCTTGCTGGTTTAGCCATTATGGTTCCCTCAAATCCTGATGTTAGCCTGACCAAAGTCTGCACCAGATCGCCGTCACCACAAGCAGTCGCCGCCTTTGTAAATCAGAGGGAGATTTGTCACCAAGCGACTAGTTTGATACCAGGACGGTAGTGGATCTTGGTATTGGTTTACTCTTAGCTGGGCTTCTTGGTGGAAGCGTCAGATCTATTCTCAGCTTGGGCTGCTCTGCCAGGCGTTGAATCCCTCCGCTGTACATCGCAGCCCGACACTCAGGAACACCTCCCAGTCAAGGTGAGGCGGTAAACCGTTTGGAGGATATATATATATATATATATATATATATATATATGTAAACCGTCTGGAAT